TTTATTATAAAAAGAGAGAAAAGCCATTATTCTCATTATTGATGAAATTAGACTTAGACTAGATCTAGTAATGTCAACATGACTGAATTAAGACTCAGGCATATTATGGTGCCAGCTAAAAATTAATTTCGAGTAATTTACATGACTTAATGATGACAGATACTATTACACTTATCTATACTAACAGGCTAGGCATACTGCTGTATTTGCCTGTGCTTAAGTTTACAGGTACTCCTTGTGGTCTTACGTGATAATGAATCCAATGCATTGAATCACAGCTACAATGACAACAAGTAACTCGAACCCGAGCTCCAGACTGCATTCAAATTTCATGATCATTGAAATATCATGACATAAGACAATGAGAGGTAGGCACTAGACAGCAACAAAAGAACACATCAAGTTGTAAAGATGATTATCGGAATTTTTAATAAGACGATAATAAATGAGCATGACCACACCTATTAGGCGACATGTGTTCTTCTCTTAATCTTCATGGCTCTTCATTCAGTTGGACAAGTCTCAAAAGTATATCCACGCACATAAAATGTATTTGAAATTATTAATTATATATATTTTCCTTAGAATTCAAAACTTGAGTCTCGCGTACAGCAACTGATGGATTGGAGTTCTCGTCGTTCAATCATCACTCTATCATCACAGAAATTCAATACATTATAACGGTTAAGAGCCGTCCCAGGAACTATTCTATCATTGCTATGCTCACTGCTCTGAAACCACAAAGACAGCGTACTGTATGCAAGTGAGTACAGCCTTATGTTTTAATTACACCACCCACCCACGTTGGCCAAAAATTTCATTCTTTTTGAAATTAATATAACCTTTTCTATTATTATGATTTTTAATTTCTCAATGACAAAGATAATGAAATTTTTCATCAGCTCCATATGCCGGATTCGAATTTTGTATTTATAAACAGTTGTAGTAAGAGCAACAGACCCCATATGTACCTGAACCCGGTTTTTCCTATGAACATTCAGTTAACGTACTAATTCAATTATAGCTTGGTATATCATTGTGGTATTAGACTATTATATTTTATTCCTATTTAATTACCTATTGCCGACCGTCAAATAATTATTATGAAATTGATCAATGTAAAGCATCTCCTTTTAATAGTGTTAGATAAAGCAAGTGAATCAGTGAGGAGTCCCTACATACAATAATAGGTGTACATGTATGTGTGTGTGGTTATTATTGACATGACAGCTGATTTGGCAAATCTCCAAGTCAATTGCTCTCCCCAAATCTCCCTTTATGTAGTATAGTGTATAACATAACCTGAAAATACATGAACTTTATAGCCAGAACTTTCAAGGGATTAAATTTCACATATCTGCCCAAAGATCATTTTGTGGATTTGATTTTTGCAAATCAAGCAAATCAAAGCTTCCCACCATCTTGTACTGTAGTGTATAGTGGAAAATTCTGTCGCCCAAAAATTTTGCATATCCGTTCAAAAATTAATTTCGTAGCTTTAATTTTTGTGGTTTTCTACTTTTTGGCCATCTTGAACTCTATTGAATCGATTTTCACGGATTTTAATTTTGTGAATTTTTTTAATGCGAAATCCACAAAAATTTGGGCCACGAAAAATTTTCTGCTATATGGTATTATCTAAATTTCGCTGCTTTTAATTTTGTGAAATTTAACAAAATCACAAAATTTTTAAGTCCCTCAAAATTTTCTAGCTGCATGTACATGTATTATGGCTACTACAATGCACCTCCTTATTCTAGCATACATGTACATCAATGGGCCCATGTATTTACAACATGTATTAATTATCCTGAGTACTAAGTGTGTTCATTTCAATGGTATGTTAGTTTTATAATTTGCAACAAAAAGCCCTCATTGCTTTTATACATTCAAAGAGTACATGTACATTGATTTTATTCCCTTTCTCTCCTCTCAGACAAGCATATGAAGAGTATGAGATACTGGCTAACTCCTGGAGATACTCACAGCAATACTCATCACAGCTTTTCTTTGTAATGACTGATATTGATGAAGATGAAATGGATGTCTTTCAACAAGTAACTTCATGCCAATAATTATAACTATCAAATTAACTATTTATTACGCTACCATATAGCGGGAAATTTTGGAGGGACTAAAATTTGGCGAATTGCTATATTTTGATGTTTGGCGAATTTTAATTTGGCGAATTTGTGGCCATGTGCCATTGAGCATGAGTATAATGGCTCAAAATGGAGAATTTTATTTGGCGAATAGCTTTCAAAGCATCAAATTTACCAATTTAATTCCTTCCAAAATTTTCTGCAATACGGTATTTGGAATTTTTTAAATTTACGGTATTAGAATTTTGCAAAAAATAGATCACACATACATGTCTGCTTACATGTCACATTTAATAATACATGACGCAGTCTTATTCAGTAAAGCCAAAAACACAGCACAATTTTAAAAACACAAAATTTTCTACTGCATAAATTTCTTATTTTATGGTATACTACAACTGTATTTTGTATGCAATTTTACATGTAAAGTACATCATGCATGTACCGTATTCTCTCAAATAAATGTCCATCACCAATATCTTCCGACTATAGATACACATTTTTCCCAGTACAAGTGTCCCAGCATTTACATTGTATGTTGCTGGCTGCATGGGCAGTTTTTTGATCCCAAGTTTTTTTAGACCTGCATGTACTGTACCTACATTTTGAAGCATCATTCTTTGGTAGCTACAATACATGTATTCAATATTGATGAGACATACTGTATCAAACAAGCCTATGTGTACACGTTCATTTACTAAGCTACTCTGTTGACAAATATAATTCTCTCCCAATGAGACTCTTAAGGTGGATTTATAATATGACACTAGGCCAACATGCTGTCAATTTTTAATCAAAATCGGGGGCGATTTTACCTTATCATGCATGCTTTATGCTAAAGTTGGACCAAATTCAACTCCTGCATCAACATAACGTCAGGACTTGCATAATATTATAAATCCACCTTTACTGTATTTATTGTATTTACTGTTTTTACTGTTTTTCTCTTATCTTCATTTAGTTGCATCTCACCACTGC